AGACAGGTTTGCCGGCAATCAAAATAGGAACAATTTGTAACCGCTTTACGGCTACTGAATGGCTTTTCTGCCTCTCAGTGACTTCTTCAATTCACATTTTAACAACCAATGTTTATTTTTTCAATATTTCACGTTAACATGAATTGTAATTGTGTACTTTAAATCTAAAGAAAAACAGACATGAGAAAATGAGCCGTGTTTTTCAATGAATTGTGGTTTTCTTGCCGAATTCTACCTTCAATGTAGAATCTTTTTCGTAGCTGTCCCGCGCGCGGCCGTCTGATGTTATGTAGCCGCGTTCTACTAAACAGAATTTTCAACACAAGTGGTCATACGATAAAATGCTTATTGACAGAGTTAGGTCGGGCGGACCGAACGCTGCAATAAAATATTGTATCTTGTTTTTGAGATATCTTAACTAATACCTACGGAGAAATGGCGAGAGAATATCAAAAAAATCTGTTCTCAAGTAATGTTCTGATTGGTTAACTCTTTCCATGTGACCCGGTTCGAGTAATCGCGCTGAAATTGCGAAGTAGATGTTTTTCTAAATTTCCGTTCTGTGAAAGTTTTCGCAAATCCTATTTTAACTTTAAGCAGTCCTGCTTTAGGTGATTATCTCCTATACAAAGTTCGTGTCCTTTTTTTTTTAAGATTATGAGTTCCTCAAGGGCTTCGTAGTACACTCTCTTGTACCCATCATCACCCGTCACCACTACCCACGGGTACAGGTTCTCCACCTCATGAGCAATAACACCGCTGTCTTTTCCTCTCATACCCAGTTCTTCAGTAGCTTTTCTGGACCACACCCAGCTGTAGCCCTGGAGACCAATCTCCTCGAACTTGGAACGCGGCACAGCTGTGATGTTTTCTTTAAGGCGCGAATCGCTAAAAATTCCAAACAGGACGGCACCGCCAAGAACAGTCCTAACTATGTCTCTTTTCTCCCTTTCTCTTGCTCTTCGAGCTGCTGCCTGGGCTTCATACGCCCTTCGTTGTCCTTCAGCCCTCTTTACTTGTTCTTCTAGAATTCTTCTCTGTTTCTCTGCCTCCTCTCTCGCAGTGCGTTCTTCCTCCAGCCTTTTTTCTCGTTCGATTATTTCTCTACGTCGCTTCTCTTCTCTTTCTCGTTCTCTCTCTTCTTCTAGTCGTCTTCTCTGTCTCTCTTGTTCCAGACGCTTTTGTTTCTCCTTTATTTCATCTTTTAAAGCAATAACACTGGCCACTCTTTCACGCGTAAATTGAATTTCTTCCGTTACAGCACAATTCTCAGCAAACTGGCCCATTGCTTGGTCAATGGAGAGCTTGATCTCATCCACGTCCCTTTCCAGCAACGGTTCAACGATTTCTTTGAATCGACGGTCACACAAGTTTGTTTCAAGAGCGATGTACGCATTTGAAAATCCTCTCCAAGAATTCTTGTTAATCGCTTCCTGAAGTCTCGTAGCGAGATCAGCGATCATTTTGCCATCCATAACTCCTCCACGAACAGTTTTTTTGCAAGGAAACCTTTTGAAATCCTTCGCGAGGGAGGAAGCAATATTTGCATAGTCGTGGTCTAAATCAGTCAATCGTTTCGAATCCTTTACAAACGGAATGTCTCTGACTATGATTCGATCGCGAGTAAATAGCCTGCTTATGGTTTGTCCGTATTTACTGTTGCCATTCAGCACCGTATCTTCAATTTCCGTTTGTAGGGTCTTCCCTGGTGACGGCGATAGCGCATCTCGTAGGACCACCATAAGTCCCGGATGCGAGTTGGCGCTGTACACATCATCATGTTCCCAGATTTGCTCGCTTAAACGCGACACACGATACAGAAACTGTATATTGTGATTACTTATTCTTTCCCTGGCAAACAGCGCTACACCTGAAGACATAAGGACGGCGAAGATGCTCAGTAAATCGGTGACCTCGTTGTCCCCCACATTGGTTCCCTCTGTGTCGATTAAAATGGTGTTGTCAGCACCGTTCGCGTCACGCAGAAGTGACATCCACGCGCCCGAGGTACAAGGTTCCATGCTTTCGCTCGTCTTAAACACATTCTGAACCATTCCACTTTTCTTTCCTTCCAGAAAATATCTGATCAAGTTCAAGTTTGTCGATTTGCCCACTCGTGCGTCCCCAATGACACTGATTATTCTCAATGGACCTCGGATGGACTGCAGCTCGCGAAGAGCATCATCTCCGAGGACGAACTTCTCGCTTTGATAATTGTACCTCAAGAGCGGCTTAGCTGGCGGACTGTCGAGACAAGCTACCCTCAAAAGATCGAAAACGAGAACTACAACTCCTAATTTAGGTTCCATGTTCAGCTTGAAGCTCCACGAGGAGTTAGCTGATTGAAGGCGATCTTGTCAAGCGGAAAATTCAGTTGTTATCGTAGATCGATGGAGGTTACTTTCGTTATTCAACGCTTCCGGAATGAGGTACTGTTGAATGCAGGCAACTCGTTTACTTTCGATTTGGTGATCACGCTTTGGGGAAAAATCCCGCAGTAGGTTACGGTTTCCTATTCGTGTAAACAAAGATCATTCCTCGAAAACACCCGCAGATCAACTTAGATGACCTGTATGTCTGGGAAAAAACCTATTTCGCGATTTGCATCACATAAACAATTAGACTTTCGGTTTCTAAACGGAGTAGGTAACGTCACGAAACGACAGTCCACTCGAGAGCAAAACGAAAACGGCAAAACGAAAAAAACAAATGAAAAATTATGTGCCAGTTAAGATTAACTTCGCTTTTCTCATTATTCACGGATATTAAACACCACTTTCCTTGTGAGTT